AATTGCAGATTTATTAACTATTCACCACTGTCAATTAAGTTCTACCCCTTGTAGCAATTATAAATTGCTAAATCTCTTGGCTTCTTCGTGTTCCTCAGGCCAGTCTATGTTTTGCAGTCAATGCTCCACAATTTCTCATCTGTTGTTTATATCCTTTTAGAGCAACCAATCCAAAGAAGTGTCATAAAACACAGGTTTTTAAGATGTAGTTCAGATCCAAGTATCTTACTTATAAAAACATATTAATTATTCTCTTTACCTCTTCATTACCAAAAAGTATACTCTTCTTAAATGAAAGGTATATCTAATAGATCAGTCAATAGTACAGGACTCAAGGGATATTATTAAAATACATGTGATATGGTGGAGTTATCCAAAATGTTACACTTAATTAAAAATAAATTATATAAATATGACAACATAACTGTTAAACTACATTTTTAATGTTTTTGAACCACAACTGTATACAGAATTTATCTAGACAAGGTCCATCTGGTAAGAGAGGCTTGTACCCTTAGTCAATATTAATGCTCAAGTAACCACTAATTCCAATCTCATCTCTTGCCTATGATTGACAGAATGGGTTCTGGGTGCACTTGAGAATATCACATTGCTTCCCCATCCTCGGGCTGAGAAATTGTTCAAATATTGTGTCATCATTGTAAACTGTCTTCTACTCTGTCATCTTGTCTGCTGCTACTCATTCTGTTGTCACCAGCAATCTTGGCTGCTATCAGCACCACAGTATTTTTATCCTTTCTTTATATCTCATCCATCACATGCAGCTTTCCTCTCACTTGATGCAAAATTTTAGTCTCCTCCTTCTTCCTCTCTCTTGCAACATTTATCTGTTTAATGCTAGTCATGCAAACCCCTTTCTTTGTTTATTAAATAATCAAATATATGGAGTACATTTCATTACATCTAACTACTTTGTCCTTCTTTTCTCCTAGAATTAAAGTCAATGTCGTATTTTCTCTCTCTCTCTCTGTCTGTCTATCTCTCTCTCTCTCTCCTCGGCCTTTCCTGCTTTCTGAATCTAGGGTGTTTTTCTCTTCTTCTTAATATAAGGGCTCGATAAAATTTGAGTAGATATATATGTGTGTGTGTGCATTGAGCCAACTTCCCAACATTAGGTAATATTTTGAAAATTAAAAGACATTCAGTTAAATTTAGTAATTTACTTAATGAGGTAATGATAATTTAAGGGGTATGCTGTAGAATTGCAAAGAGAAGAAAACAAGCAGAAATTTGGTGCAAGCTATTTACTTTTCAAATATCAACATTTAATTAATTTTGGGCTTCAAATGAATCAATGTCCCCAATCGTGAACAAACACAACTAATGTAAATTTCAAATTAATTTTATAAAATTGTGTTAAAAATAGAAATATGTAATCACTAACTGTATCTCTTCCTAAACTGTTTAGTAGTATCATAATCTCTGCTTAATAAATATTGTGATGTTTCTTCAGAATTTAACTTGAAATAATTAATTTTTAGGCAGTTGTTGATGTTCTTTACTAACTTAACTTATTGCCTGTTTACAGATTTAAATGTGAAAGTCTTAAGAACATTTAGATTGTGCCTAATACATAATAACATATATAAAAGTAATATTTATATTTTGTTTCTATTATTATAATTATTTTCACATAAGTTGCAGGCATTATTTATGTCCTTACTATGAGCCAAGAATATAACCATTTACAAAATCAGACAATGTAAATTTGTAATTGTTGAAGAGTAATTACATGACTTGACACAAAAAATAAGTCAGATGCATCTGGGAAATTTTGTTGTTGCTAGAAAATACTGTCAGAGTGACCAAAGACCCTACTAGAACATATCTACATATTTTACTCTTTGCAGGTAAGAAAAATAAATAGTGTTTAATATGAGTAAATATAGTAATCCCTCAAGTGAAAAAGGTAATATGCCAAAACCTATAGATAGGTTTTGGTTGCCACATATTGGTATCCATGCAGAAAGGAGCAGATAAGGAACCTAATATTAGTTAAATAATGGTGAATTGATAAAGCACCTAGAACAAAGCCGAGCCCACAGATAAGCCCTAATTCTCTAGGGGAGGTTAGATGACATGTCTAATTATAACCAAACATTGAAAAAGAGCATATCAGGTCAATATATCATAAATATAGCACAATGAGTCAGTACTACTGTAAATGCAAATAAAAAGCAAACTTCATTTCTCAAAAAGACCCATTTTTTATAAGTGAAAAATGAGATATCATAGGCCCATTATATAAAAATAAAACTATATTTAAGAATTATTTAATGACTGATAGGTAGGTATGGCATTAATTCACAAGATTAATGCCTTTACCAAGAAGCAAAGTAAAAGTAATTATAAGTATTCCCTCCTGTGCACAAATAACACTTGACTGTAAAATAATCTATTTGAAATGTAGCCTGACTGGTAAGAAAATATTTCTTTGAAAAAGCAGTATTATTATTTTTCAATTGTTTCATTTTTCCCATTCATAAAAACTTCTCTGCTCTATTTCCTTTTTTGTTTATTCTGTTACTGTTGTCCTTATATTTTTCCCTTTAGCCCCCTTTCACCAGCTCACCACTCTCATCCATAGTCAGTCCCCTCTCTATCATCCACGTCCATGAGTCATTCATACATGTTCTTTGACTAATCCCTTCCCCTTTCATCCACCACTACCTTCCCTCCTAGAGCTATCAGACTGTTACGTTTCTATATCTCTGGTTCTATTTTCTCATTAGTTTATTTTGTTCATTAGATTCCAGTTATACCTGAGGTCATATGGTATTTGTCTTTCACCGACTTGCTTATTTCACTTAGCATAGTAGTCTCCACTTCATCCATGCTGTCAAGAAAGGCAAGACTTCCTTTTTTCTTACTGCTGCACGCTATCCCATTGTGTAAATGCATCACAGTTTTTAATCCACTCATCTACTGATGGGCACTTGGACTGTTTCCAACACTTAGGTATTGTAAATAGCACTGCTACAAACGTGCAGTTGCATAAGTTATTCTGAATTGGTGTTCCAAGATTCTTAGGATATATTCCCAGAAGTGGAATTGCTGGGTCATAAGGCAGTTCCATTTTTATTTTTTGAGGAAATCCCATACTGTTTTCCACAGCAGATGCACCAGCCTGCATTCCCACCAACAGTGCACTTGGCTTCTTTTTCTCCATGCCCTAATCAGCACTTGTTGTTTCCTGATTTATTAGTGATGACTATTCTGACTGGTGCCAGGTGATATCTCATTGTGGTTTGAATTTGCATCTCTCTGATGGCTAATGATGCTGAGCATCTTTTCATAAGTCAGTGGGCCATCTCTTTGTCCTCCTTAGAGAAGTGTCTATTCAGATCCTTTGTCTATTTTTTAATTGGGCTGTCTTCATGCTGTTGAGTCATGTGAGTTCTTCATATGCTTTGAAGATTAAACCCCTGTCCAATGAGTCACTGGCAAATATGTTTTTTCATATAGTTTGGTTCCCATACAGTTGATTCCCTTTTCATTTTGATGATCATTTTTTTAGCTATGCAGAAACTCTTTATTTTTGTTTTTTTAATATATTCATTTTTATTTTATTTATTTATCTTTAGACGGGAAGAGAAGGAGAGAAATATCAATGTATGGTTGCTTCTGGTGCATCCCTTGCTGGGAACTGGCCCATGCTGGGAACTGGACTGCAACCCAGGCATGTGCCCTGACAGGGAATCAGACCGCGATCATCTGGTTCGCAAGCCTGTACTCAATCCACTGAGCTACGCCAGCCATGGCTAAACTCTTTAATTTAATATAGTCCCATTTGCTCAATGTTTCCTTTATTTCTTTTGCCCTAGGAGATAGAGTACCAAAAATACTGGTACACAGGATGTCTGAAATTTTATGGACTATGTTTTCTGCTAGGGCTTTTATGATATCACAATTTATATTTAAGTCCTTTCTCCATTTTGAGTTTATTCTGAAATATGGTGTAAGGTGGTGGTCTAGTTTTGTTTTTGTTTTGTTTTTTTTGCCACATAGCAGTCCAGTTCTTCCAAAACCATTTATTGAAGAGACTGTTTTTACTCCATTGTAAGTTTGTGCCCACTTTGTCCAGTATTAATTGACCTAGAGACATGGGTTTATCTCTGGACTCTTTATTCTGTTCCACTGATCTATATGTCTGTTCTTATGCCAGTACTAGACTGTCTTGATTATAGTGGCTTTGTAATATACTTCGATACCAGATATTGTGATCCCTCTTGTTTTGTTCTTCTTTCTCAAGATTGCTGAGGCTGTCTGGGGTCTTTTTGGTTCCATGTAAATTTTTGGAATATTTGTTCTACATCTGTGAAATATACCGTTGGTATTTTAATAGGAATTGCGTTGCATATATAGATTGCTTTGGTTAGTATGGACATTTAAATGTCAATTCTTCCAAGCCATGAACATGGTATATGCTCCCATTTATTTGTATCTTCCTCAATTTCTTCATTCAGTGTTGTATAGTTTCCTGATTATAACTCTTTTGCATCCCTGGGAAAATTTATTTCTAGTTACTTTATTTTTCATGTTGCCATTGTAAATGGGATTATTTCCTTAGTTTCTCTTTCTAATAATTCATTGTTGGAGTATTGGAATGCCATCAATTTATGAATATTGATTTTTAGCCCACTAATTTGTGAAATTAACTTATTGAATTGAGTAGTATTTTGTAGAGACTATAGGGTTTTCTGTACATTCTAATATCATCTGCAGATAATGACAGTTTTACCTCCTCTTTCCCAATTTGAATGCCTTTTTTTCTAGTCTAATCACTAATAATTCCCAGTACTATGTTGAATAGAAGTTGTGAGAGCAAGAACCCTTGTCTTGATCCTGATATCAAGGGAAAAGTTTTTAATTTTTGCCCAGTGAGTATGACATTGGCAGTAGGTTTATTGTATGTGGCATTCATTTCATTGTGGTTTGCTCCTCTATTCCCATTTTGCTGAGTGTTTTTTTTTCCTTTTCAGGAGAGAGCATGAATACAGTCCTCCACTATCAAAAATTATGCAGTCGAGTTTCCCATATTTGGGGAAATTGCAGTAGTCAGCACATCCAGAGTGTAATGGATAAACTTCACCCTGAGAAAACCACTTTTCATAATCATAGTTATCTCCCCTGCCAGGTAAGTATGTTGAGTATTTTTATCATAAATGGATGCTGGGTTTTATCAAATGTTTTTTCAGCATCTATTGATATGATTATGTGATTTTTTTCTTTCATTTTCTTTATATGATGTATATGTTTTATAATTTTCTAATGCTATACCATCCTTGCATCCCTCAGATAAATCCAACTTGATTGCAGTGTATTATCTGTTTAATATTTTGCTGCATCCAGATTGCCAATATATTGTTGAGGATTTTAGCATTTATGTTCATCAGAGATATAGGCCTGTAGGGTTTTTTTGTGTGTGTGTCTTTACCTGATTTTGGAATTAAGATAATACTGGTCTCATAAAAGGAAGTTGAAACTCTTCCCTCTTCTTGAATTCTTTTGGACTAGTTGGAGAAGGACAGGTGATAGTTCTTCATGGATGTTTGGTAAAAGTTGCCTGTGAAGCCATCCAGTCCACTGCTATACTGTCCTGGGAGTTTGTGATTACTGCTTCAGTTTCACTAGTTGTTATGGATCTGTTCAGTTGTGCTGCTTTTTCTTGATTCCATTTTGGGACAATATATGTCTCCAGAAATTTGTCCATTTCACCTAGGTTGTCTGGTTACTTTTCATATAGTTGTTCATAGTAATTTCCTACAATCCTTTTAATTTCTGTGGTATCAGGTGTTACTTCTCTTTTGTTTCTGGTTTTATTTATTTGGGTCTGGTCTCTTTTTCTCTTGTTGGGTCTGGTTAAAGCTTTGTCATTTTTTTTAATCTTGTCAAAAAACTATGTCCAGGATTCATTAATTATTTTTATTTTTTAGTCTATATGTCATTTAATTCTACTTTGATCTTGATTATTTCCTTCTTTCTACCTCCTCTGGGTTTTATTTGTTGTTGCTCTTCTAGTTGTTTTAGCTGCAGAATTAGGTTGCTTATTTGAGATTTTTCTGTCTTTCTGAGGTGGACTTGTATTGCTATAAACTGCTTTTAGAACTGCCTTCACTATGTCCCATAGGTTTTGGGTTGTTGAGGGTTTACTTTAATTTCTTCCCAGGTACTATTTGATTTCTTCTTTGATCTCATTGTTAACCTATACATTATTTAATAACATGTCATTCAGCTTCCATGTATTTGACTGTTTTTTGAGGGGTTTTTTTGAGGTTGGTTTACAGTTTCAAGCCTTTGTGATCTGAGAACATGCTTGATATGATTTCAATTTTTCTTTAATTTATGGAGTCTTTTTTACTGTCCTACCATGTGCTATATCTTTGAAAACATTCCACGTATGTCTTAAAGAAATGTGTACTCTGATTCTTTAGGATAAAATGTTCTGTCAATACAATTAGGTCCATTTGATCTAGAGTGTTGTTCAATGCCACAGTATCCTTTTTGATTTTTTGTTTGGAAGATATATCCATTGTTAACAGTGGGCTGTTAAAGTCCCCTAGGATGACTGTGTTTCTATTATCTCCTTCTTAATGTTCTGCAAGATTTCCCTTATATATTTGATGCATATATGTTTACAAGGGTTATATCCTCTTGTTGTACAACTCGAGTGTTATATAGTGATCTTCTTTGTCATTTGTCACGGCTTTTGTTTTGGAGTCTATTTTGTCTGATACAAGTATTGCTACCCTAGCTTTTTTTATGTCCATTTACTTGGAATGTTTTTTTTCTCCATCCCTTCAGTTTCAGCCTGTGTAGATTATTTATTCAGAGGTGGGTCTTTTGTGGACAGCGTATATGGAAATTGTGTTTACTTATCCACTCAGCTAACTCTGTGCCTTTTGATTGGAGAGTTTAATCCATTTACATTTAAGGTTGATATTGATAGGTACTTGTTCATTGCTTTTTTCCCTTTGTACCTGTGTTCCTCTTTCTCAATCTATTACTGTTTCTTAAAGTAGTCTCTTTAGCATCTCTTGCAATGCTGGGTTGGTGGAGATGTACTCTTTTAGTCTTCCTTCATCTGGGAAGATCTTTATTTCATCTCCCATTTTAAATGAGAGCCTTGCTGTATAGAGTAGTCATGGTTACATGTCCTTGCTTTTCATTATTTGAAATATTGTGGGCCAATCCCTCCTGGCTTATGGTGTTTCTATTGAGAAATCAGTTGAAAGCCTTATTGGATCTCGCTTGATTGTGGCTAGTTATTTCTCACTTGTTGCCTTTAAAATTCTCTTTGTCTTTAAATTTTGCTTTATTAATTCTGATGTGTCTTGGAGCGGGCCCCTTTGACTTCATCTTGACTGGGACCCTCTGTGATTCCTGTACTCATGTGACTTTTTCCCTCATCAAGTTATAGAAGTTTTCTGTGATTATATTTTTTCAACAAGTTTTTTTTTATCCCTTGCTATTTTTTTTCTTTCTGGTATTCTTATGATGTGAATATTATTATGTTTCATGTTGTTCTCCAACTCTCTTAAACTATCTTCACTTTTTTTGGAGTCTCTTTTTTGTTTATTTTTTTACTCTATTTTTTTTTCTACTTTGTGTTCCAGCAGCTGATTCAGTCTTCTGCTTCATCATGCCTGCTTTTAATTCTGTCTAGTGTATTCTTCATTTCAGATATTGTATTCTTTATTTCTTCCTGGTTCTTATTCATAGTTTCTATGTCCTTTTCCAGGCTGCTGTAGTTCCAACTAGGTCCCTTGTAGCTCCCATGAAGTTCCTTGAAGTTCTCACTGAGACCTTTGATCAGCCTTATAACCTTTATTTTGAACTGTATGTCTAATAGATTGCTTGACTCAATTTCATTTAGCACTTTTTCTGAGAATTTCTCTTTTCCTTTTGGTCGGAGTTTTTATCTCTGTCTCCCCATTGTAGGTGATTCTTTTTTGTTTGTTTCTGTATCTGAGGTCATTCTGCTTGATCGCTTATCTCTGTGGCATGGCCTTATGTGATAGGAATTCTGTGGGACTCAGCGGCGCAGTCTCTTTGATCTCCTCATCTAGATGCTCTAGATATGCTCTCTATTTAGTTCATGTGAGCTCTCTTGTTGTACTTAGGCTTCAATTATTGATGGCTTATTCCCCTGTGGGTTCTTCCCTCTGGCTGGCTTACTGAGAGTCACAGTCCTTGCCAACTTTCTATGCTGTTGTACAGATGCTGGCAGAACACATCGAAACTACACAGAAAATCAAGTTCATGCCAACAAAAATTACCCCAACCCACATCAGCAATATCAGCAGAAAATGAGCAAAGATTAATAAAGGTGGAGGGAAATTAAGAATGTTATAAGATGTGAGATTACTGAAGGAGAGATAAATGATTTTAAGAGGGAAGTGGGAGGAGCAATAATAAAAGTAGGTGATAGAATCGAGGTGATGGAATGCAGAAAATAAATTTAAGATGTAAGTACAAAAGTTAAAGATAATGGCAAAATGGAGTAAGAAAAGGGAAGAGTATAATATCAGGTTTGAAATATTTTTTAAATGGACCAATAGGAACAAAACTGAAAAACCACACAGGGTCAATAACAATGACAGATAAGTGATTAATAAAGATAGAAAGAAAATAAAAATATTATAAGAAAGAGAAAAGAGAATGTGAGATGTCTACATTTAAAATATGAATTTGAGAGGATAGAAGGAAGATAAACAATAACAGTAAGGAATAGAACCAGTCTAAGAAAGGGAAAAAATGAAATTCTAAATCCAAATAAGCAAGGGCAGGAGGAAGGAAAAATGGAGTAAGACAGGGGGAGAGTAATTTATAAGGTTTGCAATAAAAAATAGTGAACAAATAAGAATAAAATTGAAGAAAAACAGCAAATAACTACAGTATTCATGCCAAACAAACAACAATTAATAAAGGGAGAAAGAAAATAAGAATATTATATGAAGGAGAAAAAAGAATGTGAACTGACAAAAAGAAAGATAATGCTTTTGAGAAGATAAAGGGAAGATAAATAGTAAGAGTAAGGAATAAGACCAAAGCATAGAAAGAGATAAAATAAAATTTAAAATGAAAATAAGAAAGGGCAAGAAGGCAAAATGGAGTAGGACAAGGGAAGGGTATAATGTGAGATTTGAAATAAAAATAAAATAATCCTGGCTGGTATAGCTCAGTGGATTGCCTGTTGGCCTGCAAACCAGTCACCGGTGTAATTACCAGTCAGGGCACATACCTGGGTTGCAGGCCAGGCCCCCAGGGGAGGGGTACATGTGACAGGCAGCTACACATTGATGTTTCTCTCCCTCTCTTTCTCTCTCCCTTCCCCCCTCTCTAAAAATAAATAAATAAAATCTTTATAATTTTTCTATTTAAAAGAATAAAAGTAAAATAAAAATCTAAACAAAAATAATAAAAAATAAAAGACACAAATAGTGGAATTGGTTAGAATACAATGAAAGAAAAGAAAAAAAAATGTTAAAAGGCTATGTGACAGAAAAAAAAAAACCCCACAAATTCCAAAGAAAAACAAGGTGGAATTTGTTTCAGCACAGTTTGGTGTTTGTCTTCTTTCTTTTCCTTTTGGATCTGCCTCTGGCTTTTTATCAGTTTCATGGGTGACTCATCCAGTTTCTGGCATGTATCACCTTCATCTGCCTCTAGAGGGGCCTTCTACTGCAATTGGGATTGTGGGACCCATGTATCTCCCCTGGGAGGCATTATTTAGTCTTTTGAGAAAATTGTGGGTGTGTTCCCTTGCCCCTGCACCACCCATCTTGGTCTATCCCAGTTTATTTCCAATAATGTATAATCTAATGAACTAGCTGTCCATTTCAAGGGAGGAGCCAGTCTGTGTAAGAAGTTGGCTGTTTCCTGCTTGGTGCTGATAGCAGCTTTGTCTGAGAGCTGAGGCTGGGCAGGGCCCCGATTCTCCCTTGCTGCACCAATTTCTATCTCCTTGCCTTGCTGACCTCAGGGAATAGGGCCCTAAAAACCAGGCTGTTTTGTTTCCCTGAGAGAAGTTCAAAAGGACACCTTTTGGATTTTCTCTTCCTGTCTTTATTCTGGAGATAAGGCATCATGAAAGGGGTTCTTGGGTCTGTTCTGCCTGTTCTGCAGAGCTTCCCCATTGTATG